ATGAGTGTAAAGCAACCAGGTCAGGGCCTCAAACTGCGGTTGGCTACGTGGGAGTCCAGCGACATAGCCATTACGCTAACTGCTGGTCCCAGAAATAAATAAACTTTAAAAAAAAATGATGAGGGGGCCAGAAGGTGGCTCAGTGGTTAGGGTGTTGGACTCCCACATGCCCAAGTACAATTTGAGCCCCAAACCTGGCACCTTGAAAGTCTCAGGACATGTGCACGTGCATGCCCAGAATGCTCAGAGGAGAATGGAGACGGGACTGCAGAGTGGCATCCCCCCCGGGGGGGTCTCTCACTTTTCCTCTCCTGCAAAGCACATGTGCCCCATGGAAAAATAAATAAATAAAATAAAGGCTGGCAGGTGGCGTGGTGGTTGACAGTCTGGACGGCTTGCTTTCTCACTTTCTCTCACTCTGTTTCTCTTCAGTCAAATTAAAATAATAAATAAAATTAAATAAATAATTCTTAGAAAAGAATTGACCATAGTGGAGTCAAACCAGTTCTGGTAAGTGATACTTCCTAGGGGGTAGCTGCGCCAGGGCTGGGCCTCTGACCACAGAAAGGCTCTGTGGGATGCAGCAGAGCTGCCCTGGGACCCTGGGGTTGCTGAGGGCGGGGCCGCGCGCCCCAGCCAGAGGTAGTCCACGTGGAATCCAGGGTCTGCTAGAGCGAGCCCCGGTAGGCGTCATGGCGTCAGGTCTATTTCGGCATGTTTCGGGGAGGGGGGGTGTTTCCCAGGGGCCAGGCAGTAGCACAGCAGAGTATACTCCACATTGTGCGAGACCCTGGGAGGGCTCCTGGTTCAAGTCCGGAGACCTCCCCAAGTATGCAGGGCATGGATAGCACCATTAGGGCCCCGTTGTGGGCTTGCCTCTCCTCTCTCTGGGAAGAAATAAGTGAATAAACTGGGGCCGGCCAGTGGCGTGGTGGTTAGGGTGCTGGACTACTACATGACTGACCACAGTTGGAGTCCCGGACCTGGTGGCTTGCTTTCTCACTCTCTCTTTCTCTCTGTCTGTCTCTCTCTGGTTAAATTGAAGAATAATGATAATAAATAAAAAATAAAAAATTAATCTTAAAAAAATGAATAAACTAAAAAAAGAGAATGACTAAATTTATTATGTTATTTATTAAATTATTTTGGGGGGAGAGGATTTTGCTATAGGGTGGTTGCGCTCACCAGACAGAGACAAAGAGACAGAAAACAAGAAATTACCCCCTGGGGGGGATGGCCACGCCACAATCCCTTCTCCTCCATTCTCCTCCCGGGATCTTGGGCACGCACGCACACGCGCCCAGCGTGAGTTTAAGCCACTGGGTCTGGGACTCGCACTGTGGATGACTACATGGGAGAACAGTGACATAGCCGTTATGCTAATTGCTGGTCCCTGTTATTTATTAACTTTTAAAACTGTAATTGTATTTATTACTATTATTATGTTTAATCTGACCAGAGAGAGAAGAAGTGAAAAAGCAAGCCACCAGGCCCAGGAATTGAAGCATGATTGGCCATATGGGAGACCAGCGCCCCAACCACCCACCCACCTGCTGGCTCCAGAATTGTTATTTTATCTTATTTTTTAAAGAATTATTTTTTGGGGACCAGTAATTGACATAATGGCTACGTCGCTGGACTCTTACGTAGTCAACCACAGTTCAAGTCCCAGACTTAAACTCACGCTGGGTGCGAGTGCGTGCATGCCCAAGATCTTTCTTTTTTTTTTTTTTCCTTTTTTTTTTTA